CGTCTGCTACATGACGGTCGAAGCCTCAGCAGAGCGGTGCGCAGAGGACCTATTTGCACAAATTTGCAATTACAGCTCCAAGATAATCCCCCTACAGCCTCTGGTGAAGCCAGCTTAGGAAACCCTTCCACTCACCCCTTCAAACGAAATGGAAGGTTCTCCAACATGAATTTTGACTAGCATCTCAACTTAAATGGAGGCTCGCATAACTTGAGAAGTACGCCAAGATTCTAAGTAATGTATTTTGTATATGAAAAACCTAATCCGCAGTTTTGCAACACTATAAAGACAGATTATAAAAATTCTTAGAGCTAGAAAATCAGAATATGGGATTACTAAGTTTAGTAAAAACATAAATGATGAGCCACCATTTCCAGATTCGGTAGAAATTTGTCTAATAAGCAAGAAAATGCAGGCATCTGCAGGCTCTAAAAATGGGTTAAAAATCCATGATAATAAGAAGTTTGCATCTGGTAGATATTATTCACCAGGACAGAAAGTGCGAGAAGTGAGTAAATTTTCAGCCCTAAAGGATTATCCACTATTATTAATAGACCTTCATATTACAAGCTTAATAACCCGATAAGAGAAGAGAGCTCTTTAGGATAGCACAGAGAGATAGATCACCATACCCTAATGCTACAGTCCTTTCAGCTTTCTACAAGAGCAGATTAATTATAATAGAAATGAAACATTAAAAAAATTTTCTCTGATAGCTTAACACTATGCATAGTTATGCATATATTTCGAGAAGTTTCATATCCTCGTTCTACTTTAAGGGCACATGCAGCATGCTCAGCATGAGAATACCTTCAAAACAATTTATAATAGATGACCTGGACAGAAAACAGCCTACAAAGATTAATGATTTAAAATTATGAACTATATATATAGTTTAGAACACCCAATATAAGGATTAAAACACAAAAACTTTCTACCTAAGCGTGAAATATAGTTTATAGTAATAAAAAAACTAGAAGACATTCTAACTAGAGGTTTAATTCAAATGCCAAATTTAAATGCTCTATTTCAATCCTCCCTCGGTTTCTGATAAAGCCAATTTTTTAATACTTTTCGATTAATTATTCGTTCGAAAGAAATCTCCAGTAATATTGTGTCAACAATACTTCCCTAACTTGGAATTAATTTAAAGAATATCTAGATGTAGACGAAACAATTAATCAAGCTTAGCTGTTTCAATCAAGCCTCTCATTTTTCTTGAAAGTTTTTCTTATAAAGAATTCAGTCAAAAATTTAAGCAACAGATGATATATCAGTCTCGTTGCATCTTAAAGGCTCAACCAGGTCACTGAATTCTAGGTTACTTAATAATGACGCTATTTCTGACTTGATTAACCAAAGTCTAGAAATGTAGTTGGCAGAAAAGATGGAATGAAGCCTTCATAATGGAAAGCAAGGAGCCCTATCTATTCACTTCTTCGGAACTCAGGGTACTTCATAAATTAACTCAAGCTATCTTACTTAAAGTTGAGGATCATTTTTTTATATATCGCTATCCTTGTTATGGATAGAGAGACTGATGCTCACAAGAAATTGTTGTAATTTATTGCGGAATTAGGTTTTTAGCTATTTATAAGAACAAATCCTATTTTTGTAATTTAAAAGCTCAGAGTAATATTCTTTGCCTGTATGTAGGATTTCAAGATTACCAATAAATAAGATATATAAGTTGTATTCACCCTATTGTCCTTGAGGTGATGATGGACTTTTAGCTGAATGTTCCTACAATGGAAACGTAAGGTATATTCATATTCATATTATTGTGGAAAAATTCAACTGTCAGTCTTTCATCAGCTTAAATGAAATAGGGTGGGCACATTTCATTGTAGCATACTTCTTGAGGTCATTTCTCTTTTAAAAATTAATGCAATCCAACGTGCTTACCCAAAAAGTGCCTTTGGAAAATTCCATCTTTGAAGTTAAGTTAGATGGATGTGTAGGGCTAAAATTATTTATAAAAGGGCAGTTAGTCTATGTATTTCTGAATTTATGGTGAAAAACACTCAAAAGTAATGTAAATATTTCTAAGCAGAGGTATTGATAAAATAAAATTTATGCGTAACATGAATAACTGCAAAATTCATCTCGAAGTACATGAAATATAGTGGGGTTTTTTTACCTATAATAAACTGTCATTAGCGATCTTTACTTTAAAGTAAAAGTAAGCTTCAAATATTTTATCATGAAGGAGAGTAAATTAAAGGATAGGTAGCCAATATACACCTCCTTTCAAAAAAGTTAAACCTTTCTTATTGTAGAGCTAAAGAATTTAAGTTAGGCGAGGATGTGAAATTTATATTATTCAAGAACGAACAATAAAATTAATCCCCAAAATCGCCTCTATACTTCAGGTATTTTACTGACTTAACAGAACACTGGTTTCAAGGCAATTTATCTCCCCAAGTAAAATTATTATGCTAACAGGCAATTCTACAAGTCAAGTAGCAAAGAATTTGAAACAGCGGTATATATAATGTGGTGCCCAAACTAATTACTTGGCGTCATAAAACTTAGTAAGATTGTTTTACTCGGAGTAACTGCACAAAGTTTCCTTACAATATCAATAGCAGTCAAGGTCGGATGGAGGAGAATGTGTTTCTGTGGCTTATCCACTATATGAGAAACGTTCCCTCGGGAATTCTCAGCTAATGACATTTAGTCGACCAGTAGAGGGAACATATACAGATCGTTAGTCAAAACTACTATTTTAAGATGTTAAAACCGCTAAGGCCGACAGTAAACTAGCCCTAAGCATACAGTAATATAAATCCTTTAGAATAATAAAGCAAGGAATTTGCCTCTTAACTCAGAGGTTATTGAATGTTTCATAGCGATTTATTAAGGATGTTATTATAATTTTTCGTACAAATAGAATTTCGATACTACCAGTAAATCTGTTATATGAGATGCATTCACCCCATTTCGTTTAATGTGATGAAGGACTGATATTAGAATTTTCCCACAATGATATGAGTAGAGCTGACGTTTCCAATGAATTTCACAGAGCCTTGCTTTCCCAAAGGTTGTTCTCATCCAGGTGGACTGCAGTTTCGACCTCGCCTACGTCTTATCAACACCCCAAACGGGAACCGAACCGTGACAGTGGACCATGTGAGCTTGACAGATTAACCACTTGGCCGCATTGCCAAGAGGGCTCTTGAGTCACAGGGCAGATGTCAATTTCAAAGGAGGCTGTGCCTTTTCCCATATCACATTCTTTGGTGGGATTGTAGATTATGCAAATGTTTTTTTGCAATACTAATCGACTACATTACTTATTTTTCGTATAAGTAGAGCTTCTATACTACTAGTAAATCACTTATATGAGAGGCTTTAACCTTATTTCGTTTAAGGTGATGATGGTATTATAATGCCATTTCATGCTATGTGATTGCGTAACTAAAATTATAATATGAGTTATCCCAAAGAGCTAAAATACTGTTTATACTCGAGTTACCCATTAGTTTT